GCGTTTATGGATGGTGGGCGGGCCATGGCTGGGGCAACAGGACGTGAGGTTGGGTCTGGGCGGCGAGTGGCATGTCCAGTGTGTGGCAATGTCACTGCACGCACTTACTTGGCCACTCACTTGCGTACACACACTGGTGAAAAACCCTTTGCCTGCCCACACTGTCCATACCGCACCGGTGATCGATCCAATTTGAACCATCATATGTTACGTCATCGACACCAAACGAACAGTCGTGGTGCCAGGGCAACAAGAGAGACACATGCAACTATGCATCAACCTGATGCTACATCCACCACTTGGGATGAAGCATCTTTATAGCTCACTCGTTTCACAGCTCTCAAATTTAGAGCAGTTTAAGACTGCAAAAGACTTTTTTATCAGCATTTTGTAATTTGGTTTATGATAAGCAGTTGAAGGGTATGAATAATTTTGAAAAGTAGAGAATACTTTTGTTTCTCATTTTCTACATAATAGGAAATCATTCTGCTGTAAGTATCAGTTAAGGGAAAAATATACTGTTTACAGTAGAAAAATATGACCAGTGATAAAAAATACTATTAATCTTTGTGAATAAACAGGTTCACAAAACAAACATAAATTTTGCACTTCATTAGAGGGACCATGTAAACATGTACAAGGCATACATTTTAATCTGATTCACTTTGTGCTGTTATTTACTGACATGTGATGTCCTTTGTGATGTCAGGAAATATTTGTGCTAATTTTCAAATTGGTAGATTAGTACAGTGATATATGTTAGCCTTAACCAGATAGATTCTGCAATTTTTCCCTATGATTGTTCATTGTATGTGTGGTCTTTGCAAATGGAATGATTTATGTAATCATCCTTTCCATTATGGTGACAAGTATTAAGTAGACAAGTTGAGAATTCTCATTTTGAGCTGTGTTTTTAACCAAAGTCTGGTGTCTGTTCCTCCCTTAGTTGTATGTTGAATCAAGTGGCTAGGTACTCTTGACACAGTGAATCTATGGACTGGTTGTTATAGGAAATAAAGTAGAGACTAGATGTTTTATTAAAAGCCGCATGGTTATTATTTGGTAGCGGGATGTGGTGTCTTGGTGGTGAAGGCATAATGTGTTGTTGGTGGCGGTGGTTAGTACTAACATGGTTGGGGTGTGTTGCAGACTCTGCTGGCCCAGGGGGTGTCTCCGCGTCGCGTGGCCCGCATGGTATGTGGCTCCGACACGGTATGCCCTCTCTGCCGCAAGACCTTCTCCTACCCAGAGTCCATGATCCGTCACTGCCAAGGCCACCTCCCCACTGCCCACCGCCTTCGCTGTGCTGCCTGTGGCAAATCCTTCCATCGAAGGGACCAGTTTAAGTACCATCAGGCTCGCTGTGAAGCCCGTCATGCTAATATACTCCCAGACTCTCTCCTTCCTCCTCCATCCTTGTGAACAGTAAACAGCAGACATACTCAAAATTCATCTGTGTACATTTCCTCAAAATGCAATGGATCTTGATAATTTTATTCTTTCCCTACCAATCGTCTGATTACTGTTTTGCTCATTGTAAACACTAAACAGTTAAGCATAAGGTGTTTGACTTAACCCTGTTTGAAGGATCCAAATTGGTATGATTATCTTACAGTAAGCTGATCTTTGGTCCCTTGCAATGTTTGATCCTTGTTAGATGTTCCTACCTCATTTGCCCTCTTTTTAAATTGTAATGACAATTTATTTGTCCTACAAATCTAATGACTCACTAATAATGTGCTGTCTTAGTAGTATATTTCCCTTTACCTCAGCCTTCATTGTCTACCCTATTTCAGCTTTTGTTAACAAAATTTGAACCCTAACTCTACTATGCAACCTAGGTCAGTGAAACATGTCTCTATTTCTTGAAATTTATTTCAAAGTATTAAAAATAAAGGATAATAATGAGATAATAATAGAGATTTTCAATAATTTTCTTATTCTGATTTAATATTCTATTGAACATAGCTCCAGGGTTTCAGTTTTTTTTTTTTTATCAAACCTTTTATGTTGTCATATCCTTAATGATAAGTAGATAAGACTTCAGATAAATCTCCATCTCTCCTACTGGGTTTCTTGGTTTTTACTCTAATATTATACCATGTTTGTCAGTGTTACTTGTCCACTTCATGTAATCAATCATTTTCTTTTAAAAAATCTCTACCTTCTCCTTAGTCCACTTTTACAGATACTTATACTACAATCAGGGTTTTAATGTTTTCATATATTTAGGATTATACATTTTTAGTGATATACAGTATTGGTTAGATGTTTAGCACTTTATTTTTATAGCCACCAATTTTCATTTCTGTTAATTTAAGTATGCACCTAGGTTTCTGTTGTTTTGATTTATCCATAAGTGTTAAGATTACTTAACAGACCTAGTATAGCTAATATTTTGTACTGTATTTCAATATAATATCAAATGTTTTACTGGCTTGTCGTCTGACATGCAGTATCATGTGTTTCTCATTGTTACTCAATAAAGGTAAACAAGCATTTGGATTTTATTTGTCCACCAAAAAGTATACTTATGCATCTTTGTATGATGTAGGTTTTAAAGATGAAGCATATGGATATAGGACACACTATTTTCTTTACTACAACACATGAGGAGTATTGAAAAGATCTGGTAATTTACATATATAATTTAGTGAGGACATATACAACACATTCTAGTCAAACTGTTTTTTGTAATATGTATGGAGCTTTAACTTCTGATACAGGAACATGCAAACATTATTCCACTTATAAGATAATATAAATAATTGATAATACTTGTATGATAAAATAAATATTGAATGGCTTTTGGGTATCATATGTAAATTAATAAAAAAAACTAGTAAACAGTTGATTTACATTAAAATTAATTTTAAGTGCTATATCCTAGAATTATTGAAAATAATGTTTCAAGCAGATAAAGAAAATATTAGTAAAAAGGCTGAGCCATATTGTCAATTCATGTGGCATGAAATTTCAGTATTTATTGGCTACTATGTTCACATCAAAATAATTACAGTACAACCTTTAACTGAAGAAAATATTATTGCAAACCCATTATTAAGTAAAGATTTTACTCTAGATACTTGTGGATATGTCAAGGAATGTTCATTTGCGCAAGCCTGATTGGCAGGCATGCCTGAGGAGTGACCTCAGAGGCAGGTAAACTACAAGCTAAACAACTGATTACACTTGCAAATTTGTTGTTTTAACCAACAGTTTTCTTGTCTCTGACATCTCTTCTTGAGCATACTCATTGACTGGGCTCACTTTTCTGGACATACCTTAAGCTACTGAAAAGCATGTTATATGTCTGTGTATTTTTTCCTAAGAATTTGCTATAATGAGGAATGCTTCATAGAGAGAAGGTAACCTGATTTAGTAATGATGAGGCCATTCTTTTCACTCTTATCACATCTCAATTTTATAATTTACTCTGCCTGCAATTTTTATATTAATTTTATAGTTTGCCTCATTAAGATTTGTCTCCATAAGTATGTGTAGGTTTGAAAATCTACTCTGTACTACCATTTACTTTTGTCATTTACAGATGGACTGTGAGTTACTTCGGTTCAGTCTTCGATGTCGGTGCTGTGACAAGACTTTCAGCAACAGATCTAATCTGCAGCGGCACCTCGCATCTCAAGCTAACTATCGACCTTATTCTTGCCCAGTTTGCTCAAAGTCCTTTGCTAGAAAGGATGTTTTAAAGAGACATGTATTGAAACATAATTTATCACAGTCACTTCATGCTGTTTTAACAGAACCACCAGGTGTAGTGTCTCTCAGTCCTCCATATTAGTAAAGACAACTTGCCTATTTTAGCCAAATGGCTAAATATGTAATGGCACTAAAGACTGTATTTGTATTGTCTAGCATTACCTAGATGAAATATCTACACTAGATTTTTCATCTGAAACTTTTGTAGAGGCAGACAATAAGGATGAAATGGAAAGTTATTCTAGTTCTTTTTTCTAGAATATGTGTAGAATAAAAAAAACATTAATTTATTTGTATCTAATGTTAATGAGTTTATTTTTTCATCTTTGTACACGAATGTGGCCAGATTGACATCCCTTTCCTTTTCCTTTCCATTTCCTTTTTGTGTGATTTTTAAATATATGAGTATTATATTTTTGGTATTTTTTACTGCATAAATTTCTTTGAAATGCAAAAAAAAAATTTATAATCAAATAAAGAATGAATGAAATAAATCTTAAGATTTACTAGATCATTAGTGCAGTCAGTGATACATCAAATCAAGAATAATTTTGTAGTTATATGTAGTTCACAACGAAGCAATAAAAGCCAATTATACAAAAACAATACTTGATACTTTTAAAGGCTACAGTAATTCTATGGAAAAAATTGTATTGTAATTTACTATAACTGCAACATAAAATGTAAAGACCATTATAGTGCAGGGTTTCATTTGTGCCACAGTGTAGGTTTTACCAGGAGTCAGTATTAAATTGGTTTTCTATACAGAATTTTTGCCTTCTGTATTATCACCTGATGGGAATAAGTGTAAAATATTTATTAAATTTTATTCTTGCAGCAAAACTTAAACAATATGGTAAATCAAGATCAAAAGATCAGTGTTGATTGTTTTGTTGAAAGCTCTCTTAATAAATTGTGATATTTATCTCTTCAAACATGAAAAATATGTGATACTGGAATTTTTATAAATTACTATCTGGTTGCAAAAATTCTTCCCATCTTGGTCAAGTAAAATTAGGTTAATATAAGATGATCTGTATTTGTGCTTCTTCTCCTTGTTCTTCTTGACAGTCTCTTACCCTGCTTATTGCTCAATTGTTCTTAATTTAATGTTAGGTGTAGTTTTTATTGACAGACACTCAAGCACAAAGATGGTAAGGTGAAGTGTAAATACATTTGAGCCATCCAATTTGAAATATTAGCTATACTGTTAAGGAGACTTCTAAACATAAGAAACCAAACTTGTTTGGAAAGAAAATTTAATAAAAAATGATTTTAGT